CACACACACACACACATATACACACACGTGCACGAAGTACTCACAGATTATAATCATATGCGTGGTTTTATTTAATTTTAAATGTCAGTTTAAAGCAGTTTGGAGCTGAGATATTGAAATAATTGTTTAAACGATTTTTTTTGAGTATTTTTTTTGTGCCTTGTATTTATTTTCTATTTATTTATATTATATCTATATGATCTATTTATATTTTCTATTGTATATTTTCTTCTATTGTGTTATTATTATTATTATTATTATTATTATTATTATTATTATTATTATTATTATTATTATTAAATAGGTTATAGACCATAAAATTAGTTCTATTTCATTAGATTTTATTCCCACTAAGAGTATTGGCTCTTGCTCTTTGCTATTACTGTTTAACCTGCAGTATAGAAAAGTTTTATACCCAAGTTTTCAGGTCAATTAAGTCTGGTCACCCTGTCTTCTTGTCCCGATCAGCTAAATCGGTTGCATCGGTGCTCCGCTTCTCTTCACTGTTCTCTGTGATCGATTGGTTTCGCCTTTCTGTTCCTCACACGTGTGTGTGTGTTTTGGAGGAAAAGAAAGATGGCAGCGCCCTCGAGTGAAGTGCAACTTGTTCCTGCCAAAAAGCCCCAAGGTAATATTAATTTTGTCTGGGAATTAATTAATATAGAAGAAATTCTGTTTCGTATGAGTGTTTTGTAGACATCCGGTTTCCGCAACGAAAACAGATATGGCTATAGTACAAACAAGAAAGTGAGTAGCGCGTCCAGCTTGTATGACGTTAAGTAGATAAAAGAGGTGTTCATTATACATTTACGTGGTAAAGCATTTTGTATATTAACACTAAGCATCCCATCCACGTTCACGCTCGTCGATGTGACTTCCTGAGATCGCTGCGGAGTGTCTGCAGAGAAACATTTCAGATATAGAAATTTCTCTGATGCCTTGTACTGCGTTGGGTTTATAGGTGCTGCACACGGTATCGGTCTGCGAAGGTTCTCAGTCATCCAGGTCATCGTAGTCTAAGGATTTTGGACTTCTTTAAGACGTTTCACCTTCAGGATGAGAGGTGAAACGTCTTCAAGGAACTTAAAGAAGTCAAGACGCCTTTCTTTCCAAGCTCCTTAGACCGCACGGTATTCGATTTTACCCTTAGAAATAGATGTAGATAGTTAAATGTTCGGGTCAGCTGTACTGGTCGCACTTGTGTGACGAGTGAAAGGTCTCTTAAATAAGGAAAGAAATATGCAAGCACGTTTTTGGATGTCCTCGCCTTTGTCCAACACAAGCTGAACTTCCAGCACCCGCTATGTTTGGTCGTACTGCCAGCTGGACGTATTTAGATCATGGTTGCGAATGAATAGGCCAGAAAACTCGACTACCATTCTTCATGTCTCCTAGGTACTGTTCACTTTCCTCTGTCCTCAATGGAAAGTGTCACGAGGTAAACAAAAGGGTGTGAAGGACTGCTTCAGTTAAATGAAATGCCTGTCACATTGACAATAGTTACTCCAATCCACTCAATATGTTCTTCCAGCTGGAAAGTGGAACTACTGTAAATCCGGCCCTCATAATTTTTTTCTGTGACTGAAGCACAAATGTCACAATACCATTTGGCTAATACTGAGCAGGGAGTATACACTTCAAAATTCATCCTCATCCAAACAGTTTCTCTTCTTTATATTTTTCTTTTTTCATCATTCTGGTATAAGTTTGTCTTGGTTTCATTTGAACAACTTATTATTTTCAGAATTGTAAAGGCTCTTTTAGATGTTTTCTGGAAAAGTCTAATCTGGCCTCCCTGTTCTTTATTGTAACCAGCGGTTTACACCTTGTGTTTGTAGGCCTTGACAATGGTACGCCTACTTCTTTCAGAGTGTTCTTGACTTGGTTAGATGTTATCAAGTTGTGTTTCCTTAAACGTTTTGTCACTCATCTTGCCAAGAAGAAATTGCCTCTTCTTGAAGGGACAGATTTAAATGAAAAGTTGATGCATGACTGCACAAATTTTAGAGCTGTTTCATCCCAGCACTAAGGTGATCACTCAGAGTAGCTTTGTATTGATTTGCTGTGACCTTTATCTTCAAGAAGATAAGTTGGCCTATTGCATCTCAGGAAAATGTTCCTACAGAATGAAAAAAAAAAAGCTAATTCGTCACTTTAAAGCAAAAGGTTGTTTTTTTTTTTTTTTTTTTTAAATATGTCACATTTCTAACTCAATGTCAAATCTATTGTTAAAAATGTAGGAAAATAAAGTGTTCTTTAGTATAAGGACAAGTAATAGCCAGTGTCAAAGTTGAATAATTATATGGTAATGTGGTATGTCTTGAGCCAGTGATCATTTCTTAATGTTTTTGCTGTAAGGGAGACATATTTTTTTGTAATTTTTTAAAGTGGACTTGAGCAATAGTTCTCCAGGTTTTTTTTTTTTTTGAAGGTCTTTCAAAGTTTTTGTTTAGGACATTGTTCGCTTATTCATTGTTTCTGTCCATTTTCAGAGGAATGTTTTTCTCTCTCTTTTGTTTAGCCACTTAACACAGACCTTGGAATCATTCAAGCATGATAAGGTCACCAAACTCAAGAGATGAGCCAGTGTTGCGTCTATACATAACAGATATTTTAAATTCTGTTATTAGGGCCTTTGCTATTAGCAGCCTGTCGCAAAACACATTTGTTCCCATTTCTTTAGTTAAATCTACAACAAAAAGTCAAATATACCACGAAACAAATGAAATAATATTTTCGCATTAACAAGGTGGTTCCAAAAGCACGATTAGCTGAAGACTTTGATCTCATCATGGAGTACAGTGTGTGCTCAAATGAATCTGAGGAAGTGGAGGACAAAATGAAGATGTAGCCTAAAAAACGATCTACAATAGAAGAACAGTATCTGCAAGTCTTTAAGAAGCAGGAAAAAAAAATCCAGAAACACAGGATCTGAAACATCTGGCCTTTCAGTTGATCCATCTTCACCGAAGATCCTCCTCAGAAATGGAATTAGTGGAAGTGTGGTTGTCAAGAAGCCATTCTTAAGACTGAGGTGGATTGGTCTCCCCAGAGCCCGGACCTCAACATTATTGAAGCGCCGTAAGATCATCTTGAAAGAGAACTGAAGAAAAGGCAGTCAACATCCGAGAAGAGCTATTTATGTCCTGCAAGAAGAGGAATAGAGAAATTCCTGAAGGTTACTTACAAAATTACAAGAAAGCTTACCTAAAAGAGTTTGGGTTGTGTCGAAGAATAATGCTGGTCACACCAAATATTGGCTTTCAAACTTGTTAGAAATATTTCCAGGGATTTATTAAAAAATGTTTGCACATTTTAAACAAATTGCTGCACCAATGTCACACTTTCCTAGAAACTATAAGAAGGCGAAGGGCAGCTCAAAACTTTCGGATGATACCGGACATTGTGACTGTAATTCTGGCTCTAAACTTCCCCAGTTTTCAGTGTTTCTGCAAGTTCAATGAGTAATAGAAAACTAAACTGAAAAAATTCCAAACATAGGAGACCACATAATGCAACTTCTTTAACCTCCTAAGACCCAAACTCTCCCAAAGCATACATTTTTAATTTCTCTTTGATATTTGGGCATATTGGCACCCGATGAATGTAAAAACAAAGAATTACCAGATTTTTTTTTTAACCTTATTTTTGTTTCTGAGAAAAATGAGAGCCCTATATAAGGGTATTCGTCTAAAATTTCGATAGAACAGTGGCAGTATAATGTCCTTGTAGGTGGAGTAAGGCCCTTGTAGAGTAAAATTGAGTATTTTGATCTAAATAACCCAAAATGTGATGTCCACATATGTGGACGCCAGGTCCTAGGAGGTTAAAGCACTGTTTAAAATTAAAATAAATTCGAAATGCAATGATTTGAAAATAATTAAAATACTCCATGTAATAGAAAACAGGACAAAGATATGATATCAGATTTAAGATATGCACATTTTTAATTACTGTCAGCAACACTTTTAATAAAGTTTTTGAGAAGGGCATGTTTCCTGCTGTGTTGAATCACTTTTATTAAAAATACTCTGTAGAGACGGACTCCTGTAGTTTCTTTTTAAGGCAAAAACTGGCGTATTGCTTCACTTAAAGTCTAGTTTTGTGATAACTTTAGTGAACTTTCTATACAGACCTAGGTACATTATATATGCTTCAGACTGTGTTCACCGCATTGCTAACAGGTCGATAATTTAACTTTCTCTTTTTAGCTCGAGGACCACGGCGGGTAGCCAATCAAATTCCAGATGAAATCCTCCAAGACCCTGAGTTACAGGAGGCAATCAAAGCCCTGCCTGCGAATTACAACTTTGAGATCCACAAGACAGTTTGGCGAGTGAGACAAGCAAAAGCTAAGAGAGGTGAGTTTCTGTTACATCCTATTTGTTTTTTTTGTTTTTTGGTTTTTTTTGCATGTTTCCATTTTAATGGAAACAGAATCTGTAGTTGAATTCCACAATGTTACAATTCTCACATTCAGTCTGAGTACAGCTGTGCCCTCACCCAGATTCACAAATGCCTAAATTGCTTGTGCTATAAGCTTTTAAAATGCACGACAGGCTTCTGATTTAACTGCTGAATTGGGTCAGAGTTTGGATGAAGTTATTTGGAAGTAAAGGCTCTGTAGCTGTCTTTTACACAGCCTGGGATTTCATAAGAGAAACGGTTCTAATATGTAGCCCAAATTATTGGGCAGCGTGAGCAGAAATGATGCTTTTCTTGAACAATATCTGTTCCATATCCTGACACGAGCAACTGTGCATTGCGCCCTTCTTTAGTTTAACTGAAAAATGTTTGTTTTATGTCTGTTTCATTTCATTGTCAGCTTAACATATGACTAATATTACCTAAATCTTTATGAAACAATTCCACAAAGAAGAATTTTCTTTTGCTTTACTGCTGTTTTGAAAGCTTTTAGAACGTGTGGGAAGCAGAGCATTGAACATTTATATACAGAAATACCATGCATGCATGCTTTCATTCAAAATGTTGTCCCTGGGTGCATCTGTGCTTTGACCTAGTTTGAAGACTTTATTGTTCAGTTGTTAACGTGTGAGATTTATACAGGTTTATCCAGTTTGGGACAAGCGAAAAAGGCTCCCTTCATCACCCACAGTTACTGTCATTAAAATCAGCATCAGTGTAGGGAACTGAAGAAAATACATCAACACAAGGTCCGCATGCCTTCAGATGTAATATACATGCTGCTGCATTTAGCTTCTCATGTGTGGGCAGCAGATTCAGGCTATATTGGTGTAAATTATAAAAATTAAGTTGGAAGAGCATCCAGCCTATGATCCTAAGTTGGACTGTCTTATTGAGTCTTTTATGGGTGGATGCAATAGCCTCAAAATGACATCAGATATTTGAAGGAAATTTGCAGCAGTGATATTTCTGATGATATAGGAAAAAAATACTGAACAGTGTTATTTTTTTTTATCAGTCAGCGCAGCTGGCGGCCAGCAGCACTTAGTAGTGCGAACAATATGAAAGCCATTGTCTGTCCTTCATTTTCAAAGAGCTCCTGTTATTCAAGCAGACCTAATTCAAAGAGTGAATCAATTACCACAATGTGCTGGCAGCAACAGCACCAGTAAGGGCAACAGCAGCAGTAAGGTGCCAGTATACCTGCTGTAATGGTTGCTTCGCTCACCACCCCCCAACCTTGTTTCACAGTCACTTGTATTTATACCTGCTAATAAGGCGCAGGAAGCTGCTACGGTATTCTCCTGGACGATAGGTGTCGCCACTCGGATAATATCGTAACATAAGTGCTGATATAAGAGGAGAAGTAATCAAAACTAGAAGCCGAGACTTTGAGTGTTTTTTGCAAAGTTTTCAAACTGTTCCATTATCTCCCTTTGGCTGTCTGTATGTTTCTGATATCATTAAAATGGTAGTAAAAACATGATCGTACACTCATGTCTTCCACCTAGCTGTGGCAGCCATAGTGCAAGGTTACAAAAATCGAAAGCTGCATAATGGCCCCATTAAATGACAGTGGTGATGCAGCATAGTCAAATATGAGAACAAAAGTAGCCTAGGTCATGTTTAAGTAAATGTATAACTGCATAACACTTCCACAATGACTAAAGTAATTAACTCGTTAGGAGAATGCACAATATTGTCACATCATAAAACTTGAGAAATATTTTCTGCCTGTGATTTTGTAGCTTTGGTTGAACTTTTTAACCAGTTGCTTAAAGCCCTGCTTTTCCATCATGTAACCAAATCTGTAATCTCCATCCACATTTGCTCTTCCTGTCATATGGAGTAATTTGCAAAGCACCGTGCTCTGTTGGAGGCTGATGAAGTAGTTCCCTTTTTACTAAGTTTTTATTGGAGGCTGAAACACAGCTCTCGCTCTTAGATGTGTCTAGGTTAGTGTCGTTGTCGTGTACTATAGAACATGACACATGGCATTGCTATGTCATTGATATCACCTTTATATCATGTAAATATTTATATTACACCTCTGCTTTTACTTCTTACTGACCATCTTTACCCTTGAGTCTGTTATAAAAGTGTAATGTTGTAAGCCCATGCTAATAAAAGATGTATGCTGTGTGAAAAGTGTTGCTGGGATCAAATATAGGGATTTAAGTTTCTATTAAGAATATGGTTTAAACAACTTGCAAAAAATTACATTCTAGTTTATTTGCATTTCCCCGGGTGTCTGAACTTTAAATAAACAGCAGTTGCAGATACATTCAGTTCTGTCAGTGCTTATTAGGTTAGCAACAAATCTAGTGGTAAGGTTTTTAATTTTTGTTTTCCTGAAAATGCAAATTGTGATTTGTGTGCATTGTACTCTATTCAAATTTACATTTAGAGATTAACATTGCAAGTCAAAAATGTCAATACTTTTTTCCTCTTACATGCTTTCACATACAGACTTGTGTTTTTACCCTCATGCATTGCTGCATGTATAGTCTGACTTTTCCCGATGCCAGTTTTTTCTAGTGCAGCGGTATAGGAATAATGTGTCAGTATTTGCTTCCAGCCTTAAAAAAAGATCCTTCACTAATATATATATCAAAATGTGTATTTTTTCTACTCCTTCATGCCTTGGGTAGTAGTATGCAGATGGCATGCCAAGAGGATAGAATTTTTTTTTGTCCCTGTGGGGAGTGTTTGTTTTATTGCAGCCTGCTTTCTTTGCTTTTTCTGTTATGTGACTTCTTTTTATCAGAGCTTCTGTCTCTGAACTGAAAAGGGCATAACTCACCTCATCACCCCCATCTCTCTTTGTTCCTCTTTGTGTCCATCTGTTTCTTTGTCCTCCTTTGAACTCTGCAGTGGTCTCATAGTGTTCTTTTAAAACTGAGAACTGAGCATCATACCATAAAACTTTATTTTGGTTCCCCAGCCTCCTTTTTTTTTTATTTTTTTTTTTTTAAATCTAATCTGTTATGCAATTTTCAGAACATTTTTGTTCTTCAGCAACTTTGGCTGTTGGCTGTCTTCTATCATAATTACATCATACATTCAATGAAAACAAAGGTGAGTGAACAATTTAGTTTTTCAGCAACTTTAACTTCTGCTGTTGCAATTGCATCATCTGTTCACTTAAAATAAAGACCCAGAAAAGTAATAACAGGTAATATTAACTTGGTGACTTGAGGCAACTATGTCTTTGGTGTTGAGTTTCAAGTATTATATTTATACAATTAAATAAGAATAGTTCATTTTCTAACTTTGGTTAAGAAATGAATTGAAGCAGATGATTTATTGCTCAGTATAAATTAACTCCTGTATGTGGATCCTGGTAATTATTTTTGCATTGTGTTGTGATTTTTTTTGATGGGGTAAAATACTAGTTTTCATATAAATAAACATGTAAAAAAGCCAGAGCTAATTAAATGGGTACATTTGACATTTTCTTTTTGATGTTTGCTTGAGCTACAAGAATTAAGTGAAGCATTTAACACCATCTTTTAGTTTCTACAGTAATCTTCCACGTTGCAGTTAGAGGCACGATCAAGCAAAATAGGATAATATCTTAAAGCTAATAATCCCTGTTTCATTACAGTCATTAATTTTCTAAACTTTAAAATTAGGTTGTGAATTCTTTTTGAATTATAATCACAAACAATGTTAGCCTCACATCCAGCTTATGTGGAATTCATGGTACTGTGTTTATGTCTATTTGTATTTACCTACACAGATACAAGGATTATATGTATGTAAACTAGTACTTCAGAAAGACTACAGAACTTAACCCAACAGGAATTATGCGATGGGCAGCGTAGCAGGTTGAAAACTGGGCCTGGGCAGCAAAAGGAGCATAGGTCACCACCTAAAGAGAGAAATGTAAAAAATCTGATATCCAAGAACGGCGTGAGAAGCTTAGAGACTCCAGCAGACATTTGGCATTGTTTTAACTTGAACTCTTTGTATGTTTTACGTGTTGTCTTTTCCGTGGCTGGCTGAAGGACCAACAATTGCAAAAGCGAGATGAGGCCTAAATTCAAAAAGCCTTTAAAATTATTTTTGTACATCTCTGTCCACCTTTTTCTACATTCTCCATGAAAGTTGTTGGGTAGTAGTGATTGAAGTCAATAGTGAGCATTTGTATTTCTTTATCTATGAAGATGGGCAACTATAAAACACATTATTAGGTGTCAATGATCAGAAACTCCTTAAAGCACCAGTGCACAGTCTGCATTGGTCGCTTTGTGCACTGTTGCAACATCATGACGCAGTCACTTATATTAATGTCTGCTGTTCAGGCACAGGAAGCTGCAGTATTGAACTAAGGAGTTTTTTGAGGTCTTTAGACACATCTCTCACTAGTTTTCCTACCAGGCTTCTTCTATACTAAGTGGCTCTCTTTGAAGATTATACTTCTCACTCCGGTTCTTGACACTTGGATATGCTGTGATAACTTTGCATGTCCATTGCTTGCTTTGTGAACAATTCCTTTTCTCAAGTCTAAACTAACTTCTTCTTTTTTGGCATAATGCTTTCTCAAGTGAAAGCTCAAACCCTTTATACTGTGTGTAAATTGGAAGATAATCTTCAGTTTTAACTTGATTTTCCAAGCTTGCGTATTGCAAAATTAAATCACATCATTATACAGCAGTGGTCTGTGCTATGGCTCAATAAAAAGGTTAAGTTTTTTTTATTGTGTGCAAATAAAAACACTTAATACTTTATGAAAAAAAACCCACTTTTGAACAAAAGTTTGCAAACAAACTACATTAACTGAGCTGCAATAGTGATGTGAGAATGTATTGAGAGTGAAACAGAGGAAAATTGAGGCTAGGTTTTTGGAGGTCTCTTTGCAGCCTTGAGGGTATAAACATAAAGGCACAGGACAATTCAGGGCCATCTTAACCAGGCCTAGGCAAAAGATTAA